AACCATTAAATTCAATCTAAGGGAGATAATTTACAGTATTAGATCTAAGCATTTAACTTTTTGCAATATCTATTTTCAACGAATCTTTTTTTTTTTTGGTGAAAATTTTCAACGAATCTACTTTTTCACATTTCAACAATTACATTTCAAAGTCTATGTTGGTGTGTCTCTCATCTAAAAAATTATTGGCTTCTCTTTCAAAGCAATCGGTTCGGCCTCTTTTTTTCACAGGGATGATGGCAATCGATGTTGGCTGTGAATTACACAAGAAGTCAAAGTTTATATTCCAATTTATCTTGATTTCCTTATTTTTCCTTAATTTTTAGCTACAATTATAGATTTAATTGTGTAATTAAAGATGAAATTCTGGATAATGGGACGGTAACAAAAAAAAAAAAGGAAAAAAAAAAAAAGAAAGCAAAGAAAAGAAACTCAGGGATAAAAATTGAAATTGAAATTAGAGATTCCCTCATTCCCATAGAAAGAGCAAGAGACTAAATTGAACATAATTAAAATTACTGAACCAATTTATCTAAATATAAGATTCAAATTGGAGGACTATTCGTGTACTTTGCTCTAGCTCACATAAAATCAAATCCCAGATCAAGTAAGGCCGCGTCGGCCCCTGCGGCCAACCAGCCCGCCACAACATTCCCTTCGCTGAATTTCTGACATTCCCAGTTTCTTTCATCTTCCCAAAAAAGGGGGCAAACCCCTGTTCCGGCACAGATTTGCTCAAAATTCGATCACTTTTCTTCCAAATTTCAATTCAAATTCCTAACCCTTTCGTGACAACCAATGGCGGTTAAGGAACCGGTGATTTTCACAGAGAAAGATGAGATGAGGAAATGGTCAAGAAGCATGAGATCCCAGGGGAAGACGATAGGGCTGGTGCCCACCATGGGTTACCTTCACCAGGGCCACTTGTCGCTCGTTGAAGAAGCACACAAGCACGCCGAGGTCGTTGTCGTCTCCATATATGTGAACCCAGGACAGTTCTCTCCCTCCGAGGACCTTTCCACCTACCCATCTGATTTTCACGGTGACATACTCAAGCTCAAGTCTGTTCCTCGGGGTGTTGATGCTGTTTTTGCTCCCAAGAATCTTTATGACTATAGGGAAAATAAGAAGAGTGAGATTATGTTAATATGGAAAATAAGAATTCTTACAAGAAAGGGGTGGTTCCATGTGTGGAGGAGAGGTGAATGGGGCACGAAACAAGGGTTGGAGTTGAGAGATTGGAGAGAGGATATATTGTGTGGGAAAAATAGGCCTGTGTTCTTTAGAGGGGTTGCCACTATTGTCACCAAGTTGTTCAATATTGTGGAGCCTGATGTTGCTGTATTTGGGAAGAAGGATTACCACCAGTGGCGGATTATTCAACGAATGGTGAGCCATTTTACTGTTTCTGTTCCTTTGTTTTTGGTAAGAATGATGCGAATGATGGTAATGGAAATCAATAATGAATTACAGTGTTAATTTGATAGCTTATTTTTTTTTAGTTTGGCTTGATTTCTACAGGTTAGAGATCTAGATTTTGGCATAGAAATTGTGGGGTCTGATATTGTGCGCGATAGTGATGGTCTTGCATTGAGTTCGCGAAATGTCCATCTTTCCCCGGAAGAAAGGGAAAAGGTTTTCTCAAAATCCCTTGCACTTTTTTTATTTTTTAAACCTTGAGGCATGCTTATAGTTTCTTAAAATATCCCATATCTTGTCTAAAGTATAGGATTCAAGTGTTGTTGTTGTTGTTGTTTCTTTTTTTTTTTTCTTCTTCTTCTTCTTCTTTTTTTCTTTTTTCATTATCTGTTTAATGGAAAGCATTTTGAGAAGATTCTTAACTTGACAATTCCAAAGCAAATTATTTTGTATTGCCGATAATCTTTCTTGTTCATCAATTGAAATTTTCGTTTGTATTTCCCCAGGCATTATCCATAAGCAGGTCATTGTTGAAAGCTAAATCTGATGCAAAAATAGGTCTTGTTAATTGTAAAGAATTGACAGATACAGTCGTACAAACAATTACTCAAGCTGGGGGAAGAATTGATTATGCTGAGGTAAGTCAAAAACAGCTTTTCCTTCTCTTTTTTCCTCTTTCACTTGGACTGATTTAGAAGCTGGATGCGTTAGTATGCTATTTAGTTGTCATATTGACATTACCTGCCTTCTATCTTTTAAACTTCGTAATTGAAGTTGGTTGGTCACCTGTTTAGAAACTGGATATGATGGTATGATAGTATGCTATTAGTTGTCATATTGACATTAGCTGACATGAACTTGTTGGATGCACTAACAGTTGATTGTTGATCCAATCCCCTGAAACTTCCTGTTTTCCATGCTTGTTCATTGCCTATTTTCAATTTCCAAGAATCATCTTTGCTTTGTAATTGTTGAAATTTCTCATCCTGCCTTCCTTAAGCACTATTTCGTCATGATTTTGGACTCAAGCATCTCAGAAGGGAGACAGTGCAAGACAAGACCAGAGGCAATGCATAACCAAAATCCAAGTCTGTATTTAATGGGATACCCTTTAAGACATTGCTGCAAATGTCCATTGTATTACAAATTCTGGTAACCTCCACCAAAATATCAATGATGCGTTTTGTTATTACAAAAAGACCCCTTTTTTTTTAAAAAAAGTACTTTCTTTGTAAATTATGGCATATCACCAGAATGTTGTATTGTTTTTTTCTATCAAGGGTGTACTCTATTGTTGAAGCACATATCAATCGGATAGCACAATCCAAGTTACAAGCATATTTTCTTGTGAGGAACTTATAAAGGTTCAACTAGAAATGTCACAATTATGTTTTTTATTTTGTTTGTAGATTGTGGAGCAGGAGAGTTTGGAGGCAGTGGAAGAGATCAAGAACCCTGTTGCGTTCTGCATTGCTGCATGGTTTGGAAAGGTTAGGCTGATTGATAACATAGAAATCAGCATATGAAACAGTGCCTCCATTGATTTACTTTTCAAGCCGTAAGAGGACCTAACTGTTTTTCTGAGCTTCATACTTCCTTTGCAACTCTTTCTTTTTATTTCCCCCCCTTCTTTTTTTCCTTATTGGACAAAGGCATGCATGTGTCACTGGAAACAGACGCTGGGAGAGCCAATGCTAACCATGCAAATTCTTTGTGAGAGGATTGACCTGAAGTTTTCACAAGGACTAGGATGCATGAAAGTAACTGAATAAATCCAACCTTTTGTGATTAGTTGTAGCAGCATAAACTACAAGAGCAGTTTAAATTGTATACCTTTTTTTTTTCTTTTGGGTTAATGGCAGCATGATTTGAATTATGGAAAATTGCAAATGTCTGTGTCATTTCTAGGTCCATTTCTGTGAGCTGTCACAGGAAACAGACACCAGGAAGAGCCAATGCTCAAAATGTTTCTGTGAACACCACCAGTAGTGGGAAGATGCCAATAATCTGGAAACATCACAAGCCAAACTGTATCAAAAGAATAAAAATGAGCCAAATAAGTAGTGGGAAGGCATAAAAGCTCCATGGCCTTTGTGTTTTTAGAGACCGTAGTGTCATCATATTAGGTTTAAAAAGAAAAGGAATCCAGCTTCTAATAATCAACTTTGTCAAATGTTTCTCAAATAACAAACTATCATAAAGAGTATCATAAGCTTCCGCATTTGGCACTGCTTTAAGAGTGCAACTCCTCTCTCTTATGCATGTTCTACATTCTGTTTGATGCCAGCATCCGCAGCATCAATGTCCACCAGTTCCACATTAGATTCAGCTCCAAAATTTGGTCAAATTCACTAATTCCACCAATGTTCACAACTTCAGGTATCTTCATGCTCTTCCCACCAAGGTCTACGGATCATGGAAAGCAGAGAAAACAAATAAACACAAGCCAAAGCCAAATCATTAACTTCCATGCCTTTTTGTGAGTTCAAGTTCAAATATAGAAGACTCCATGTGGTAGGGCAAAAAGTGATTGCTTCACGGTCTAAATATGAAATCTAGCAGTGAATCTTCAACAGAACTAGTTTTGATTACGAAAAAGTAAACTGATATGATGCACAAAAAATGGAAATCAGTGCGTGATTGTGCACATTTCATCTCAATGAACTTGAAAAACATAATGTCGTCATCTTACAAAATTCATAAAGAAAAATGCACTGAAAGTGAGATCAAGTATACACCTTAGAACTGAAAGAACAGATGAAAGAATTGATTAGAAAATTATGGCTATTTCAAGATAAAAGAGCAGGAACAAAGCCTCTTGCTTTACCTTAAATTAACAACGATATATTAATTTGCTAAACGAGGGAATGGTAGTAACAAATTTCTATGTTCAAATTAAGATGAAGAACATGCTGAGGATGTGGTAGGATACCTGAGTCCAATTGACGGTGTATTTATTTCCCGAATGTTGGATACAAGGGGCCAATAGTCTCCTTTTTCCTTCAAGCACCGTTGTTCTAGAAATGGACAGTCTTTCATTTCGAACACTTCCAACGAGGGAGGCAGACCTTCCTTTGGCAAGGTCTTGAGATTCGGGCAATCATTAAATCTCAACTCTCGAAGAGAAGCAAGGTTTTGGAGGAGCCCTTTAGATATGGATTCCAGATTACCTACTCTTTCTATTGTAAGAGTTTTTAGGGAAGTGGGAAGCAAATCATCCGGAGGACATATCCAATGAATCTGAAATTTCTCAAGAGACGTAAGCCTGTCAAGCCCCCATTCTAACATTGACTGCTTCAAGCCCTCACAATCGATCACAAGCCATTTAAGATTCGGCGGTAAACCTCCCCCTGCAATGGAAACTATACCTGGACAATTTCTTATAACTAATTCTTGGAGAGACGTGCAATTGTACATCCCATTGGGCAGAGACTCGAAATTATCACAACCTGATATCTCCAGAGTTATAAGAGTCGAGGTAGACAGCAACCTCTCTGGCAAGGACGCTAAACTTTTACAACCTTTTATTTTTAAGAAGCAGAGACGACTGAGATTGTGCTTGCAATCAATAGGGAAATTGGATTTTCCCATACCAGAAATACTTGTTCCTTCAAGATTCACTGTCACAGTGTTCCTATCATCACCCTTCCCCAGGAACTCAGATTTTTCAGAATTCTCAGCAGTGGACTCTTTAAGTCTGGAAAGTAACTCAACTGTCAAAAAAGATTTGAGGCGTGGACATCTTTGTATAAATAATTCTTTTGTTGTCATCATCAACTCTTCAGGTAATGACTCCAAAGCCTCCAAATGAATTAAGAAAAGGGTCTGGAGATATAACGGAAAGTCAGTCACCAAAAAGCCCACGAACTTTTTGCATCCTCGGATATGCAGTTCTTTTAAAGAGGTGAGGCTATGTAGTCCATTTGGTAGGAGTTCAAGGTTGTCACAATTAACGATGGTCAAAGTTTCAAGAGTAAGAGGTAGAAGGTCTGTTAACGATATTAGGAGAGGACAGTCATAAATACGCATCCCCTTAAGACTGGAAAAGCTCGACAGACTGTCTCCATCCTTCAATAAGAAAGTAAGTTCACCACATGCTTCAATTTCCAGAGTCTCAAGTGCGGTCATGTTTTGCGTGATGCTCCTAGGCAACCAAGTAAGCTCTGAAATTCTGCTAATACGCAACTTGGTGAGTGAAGTGGAATCAAACACACTCCTGAGAACTGCCTCTTTACAATCGTGCAGATACAGTTGCTGAAGTGCTGGAAGACTCACTGGAGAGTAAGCTAATTGAGGGCATCCATTGATCTCAAGCCGCATGAGTTGTGGTAATTGTCCAAGCCTTGGCAATAAAGTACTTCTCTTACAATCATAGAGTTTCAAGCACTCTAATTTAGAAAATGATGGATTGCCTATCCAAGATGGGAACTCCAAGCCTCCGTATGAATCAATTTTGAATCTTTTCAAATTGTAATGAGGCTTTAATTGACTGAGTACCTGCAATTCATAACTTTCATCTCGTGAAATCTGGAAGTCATTAGTCCATGCCAATGTTAGCTTTTCAAGGCCCTTGATCTTACATAGGTTGGCCTTTGGGGCATCTTGAATATCGGAGACATTATGGAGATCTTTGATAAGTAGCTTACCTCGTAGATCCTTCAAGTTGCTCAACTCTTTTAATCGAAGCCCACCAGATTCTCCTACGATAAATTTAGGCAACATCAAAAGATTTTTCAAATTGCCCATTAGGGGTGGCATCTTCTGTAAGCTAGACGTACCCCTAATATCAAGATGATGTAAGTCAACTAAATCCACAATTCCAGCCGGTAACTCTCTGATTTTGTTGCAATTGTATAGTATCATTGTTTGCAAGTACACAAGAGAACTCACAGAACTCGGTAAGCTTTGTAATGCACTACGTGACAAATCTATGTAGCGCAAATGCTTCAATTTCTCAATTGAATTTGGAAGCTCCGATATTCTCCAATCATACAAAGATAAGACCCTTGGGCATCTTAATTTTTGTATGAACTCCTGATAAAATCCATCAATAAGAAGATATGACCCACCATGAGCTAATACTAGGAATGTCCGCAAATTATTGGGGTTTTGCAGAAACCAATTATTGGGGTTTTGCAGAAACCGAGACATTTTAGAATAACCAACTCCATAAAAAGTAATAGGGCATGACGCATGGCGTGCCTTTTCAAAATTAACCTCCATTTTCTCACTCTCTATCAGATTTCCAAAATTGCAGCATGTTTCTCCTGCAACATACTGCGCTAAATCATGCACAAGGTCATGCATCACAAAGTGTGATTGATTATGGCTTGATTGTTGGAAAAGCCCTCTCGAAATTAAATCACAAAAGTATTGATCTCCCATGTCTTTAATTTGCCTGGCTCCATTCTGCTGCTGTTTTATAAATCCCTCAGCCATCCATAATAAAATTAAATCATCCTTTCGAAATTCATGATCTTTTGGGAAAATAGCACAATAGGCAAAACACCTTTTTAGATGGGCAGGAAGATGATGATAGCTCAATCTCAAAGCTGGAAGAATGTGACTTCTTCCTTCTGGTAATTCCCACATCTCACTCTTTGCTAAGTTGACCCACTTGTCAGGATTTAGCTCACCACAAAGGAGTCCTCCAAGGGTTTTTATAGCTAATGGCAACCCTTTGCACTTCTTTACAATTGCAACACCAATATCTTTGAGTTTCAAGTGTGCATCAAAGTTCTCCCTTCCCAATGCGTGTCTAGCTAATAATGACAAACACTGGTCCTCTGGAAGCACTTTAAGACGATAAATTCTATCACTTGCTCTCATGGTTCTGGCAACACCCTCGATGCGTGATGTAACAATTATTTTACTCCCAACTGCTGCTGATACAAAAACTCTTTGCAATACATCCCAACAGCAATAGTCCTCACTCCAAACATCATCCAATACAAGAAGAAACTTCTTTCCGGATAACATATTGTTCACCTTCCCTTGAAGTACAGAAGGATCTTCAGAGTCACACTTATTTTGAGTGATTTGTTCAAGAATAGATCTTGTTATTCGAAGAATATCAAATTCATCAGATACACAAACCCAAGCTTTAGGCTCGAACACACCCTCCAGTTCAGCATCATTGTAAACTAGTCGAGCCAATGTGGTCTTCCCTAGTCCACCCATGCCAACAATGGGAATCACACAAGGGTTTTCATCACCATCTTCATCATTCAACACCTTCTGAAGAATGGCATCTTTGTCACCTTCTCGACCATAAACATGAGGTTCAGGTAACCAAGTAGTAGTAGTGATCGGCTCCCATCGTGGAGCTGCTACGCTACTTCTTGCCTCTCCAACATTCAAGTCCAGTGCTTCCTTTTCTCTCACAATACGTTCCAATCTGACAGAAATCTCCTTTATCATGGAAACAGCCTCACGATTAAGGATCAAATCATCCTGATTAAAACCAGTGCAGCACATGGGGATCAACTTTCGTGCCTTACCTGTGCTGGGTTGATCAGTTTTTGCAGTCAATTTCTTCCTTCGTTCATCAGCCTCTAGTCCATCAAGGACATCCTCCATATCATAAGCTACATCTCTGAGGTCAGAAAGCCACATCTCCACAGCAAGATTAGCTGTTTGTCTCATCTGCGCATCGTCAAGCACAGCACATAATATCGGCAAAAAACATTTCCAATTTTCCAAGTCATCACGAACCTGACTTTGTGAATTCCACCATCCACTGGACTTGGATCCCAAATACTTGATCAACCACTCCAGGGAAACAGAGAGAGCTGTGGTTCCAATAGCTTCCATCATGTGGAACAAGGTTCTGTAAAAATCAAGAAATACTATATATTTAAGCACCCAATGTCATAAATTCAGAAAAAAATAAATAAATAATTGGCGAGAGAGCTGTGAACATGATTTTCAAAATCAAATCGGATCAGACTAACCGGTCTAACCAATAAGACCGGTGACGGTCATAGAAGTGGTCAGGTTAGGATTACAAAAGTAATTGAACCAATCAGAACCAGTCAAGTATATTCAGAAAAAAAAAAAGGTTAAATGCTAGATTTGGTCCCTCAACTGTAGCGGTTTGCACATTTTTGGTCCCTTAACAATTTTTTGCACTTTTTTGATCCCTTAACTATACGAAATGCACTCCGTTAGTCCTTCTGTCAATTTTCGCCGTTAACTTG